GGCAGAAATTCTCACTCGGCAGGCAGGGTGGGGAGGGTGCTGCGGAGTGGTGGTGATCCCAAGGGGGTGCAAGAGGGTCTTACCCACGCCGCGCCTAGGCTGGGACTGGCAGGTCCCACCAGCGCAGGGTAGCCAGAAGCTCTCCCACCTGAAGCGCATATTATTACAGACATCCTCCAAGACAATCAACTTGTCTTTCTTAAAGCCTGGGTGCCTATTTACTTTTACAAAGCAAATGGCAGAATGTAACCACCAGCTCCATACCCCAAAGTTTAAGCATGAGAACCACCAGTTCCAGCATGAGAAAAGACTGGCAAGGAGCTTAAGAAAAGCAGACACTGAGGCCATGGAGCTCTTCTGGGGAAGCCGGCAAGGCTATCAGAGCAAAAGCTCCTCTGAGTTACTTTCTAAGGGGCATGTTTAGACAGGGCGTTAGCCAAGGCCCTGAACACTGCTGTTGCTGGACATTCATCTGCTGGAGCACACCAGGGTCAGCCTGCTTGAAGAGTGAGGTGGGGATGATCACTGCAGCCCTGGAGAGCCCTGTGCAGCCTCTGCGCATCCCTGCCACGCCCCCCACACCCCTTCTTGCCCAGTGTCTTCCACCACAGGGGGCCGAGCCTGCACTGGAGCCCAGAGCGCTCCCGCACAGCCATCCCCTCCTCAGCGGCATACAGGCCTAGGGTGAAACCCTGCAGCAAGCTCCGCCAGTCGTGAGCTCTACAGTACTCCAGAGCCCACCTGCTTCTTACCATCCCCACCCACGTGCTCAGCTAAGTGCTGCTTCCTATCTGGATCACGTCATACCCTCCTAACCAGTCTCCCATCTTCGTTGACTCAGTCTGTTATCTTGATTTCTGAAAATTTACTTTTGATATGATTTTAGTTATAGAAAATTACAATAACAAAACAAATTCCTGTATATATTTATTCATTAACTGTCCATTTGCTTTACTAAATTCTCATTCTAATACTTTCTGAAATGTTTGTGTGTAGACTGTAAACCTAAGTCCTACATCTTTTCAACTGTATTTCCTACAATACAGATATCCTCTGACATATCCATAATGATTAAAATCAGGACGTGGGATATTCATACCATACTGTCATTATTCATAACATATAGTTCTTTGGGTTTTTTGTTTCTTTACTGGGGACTGTAGCCAAGACCTTACAAATGCTAAGCAAAAGCAAGTGTTCTACTGATGGAGACCACTAGGCAGCAGCCCTGAGCAACTGGCTTTCCATGTGTACCTGTGAGTCTGCCCAACGCCTAGGCCCTTGTCTGGAGAAGGGGGTGGCCTCACAGTACTAAACTTCGGAGTCACTGACCCCTACTGAGGCCTGTAGTGGCAGTGAAGCCAGGGCACCCTAAAAGACAAGGTCACAGCCAAGGACACCTGGCTCCAACCCCAACTAGCTGAAGACTGGCCTCAGGCACCTCGCTCCTGCGTGACTTAATGCCTTCCTTGGCGAAGTCCTGGAGTGTTGCCCCCCTTCAAGAGAGCTCCCCTCCCTTGTTCTGACTGTAGAGTGCACTCACAGGTGACAAACTGTGTTTGATTTAGTTTTACCCTTTACCAATTTTCCTTGGTGGGGTAGGAATTATTGCCAATTGTCTAATGTGTTTCTCCTGCCCCCATGTCCAGGACTGTGCCTAGCATTTGCATCTGCTGAAGAAATCACTACTGAACAAACAACCTGCACCTCTCTGAAGATGTGAACAGCTCTAGGAAAGAGTTAATGTGGGACACCAGGACTTACATCTGGAAAAGATACCTTTGCTTGGCAAGAAAGCAGTGAGAAACGATTCTGCACTGTTCCTGGCTATAAGCCTAAGCTGACATGGTCTACAGAGGTAGCAGATTTATACATACAAATGACAAATATAATGCCATAAGTGAGTGACACATATTTTAAAACTGGCTGGAAAAGAAAAGTTTAAAGCCAGCCAGGACCACATAGTAAGTTTAAAGCCATACTGTGTTTCATAGCAAGATGCTGCCTCAAAGAAAAGAAATCATATTGAGTGAGTGAGTCACAAGAGATAATTGGTTGGGGGTTGCAGGGTGAGAATAACAGGAAACCAAGGTAAATCTGACAGCATCATGATCTGAGCAATGTGACAAGCCATGATCTAAGCAATGTGACAAGACTCTGTCCCAAAATAAAAGATAAAGTCTAGGGATGTCGCTGAATATGAAGGCCTTGGGTTCAATCCCCAGTACCCTACACACACACACACACACACACACACACACACACTCACACTCACACCACACACACAAAGGGCATAATGTCACAGTGACACCCATGATTCTGTGTAATCAGTATACATTAATATTAAAAAGGGCATAATGACTTCTACAGGCTCATTGAAATAATTCTAAAATTCTCTCAAATGCCAGTCATATATACTCTCCCTAGCTGCAGAAGAGAAGTAAGATGCCTACAATATTAATTTTTTCTCCACCTCATAAATTGTGGGAGGGTTTCCCATATCACATTTACAATAATGCCACGTTCTACTTTGCATGCTGGAGAAATCAGTCAAATATATGCCATTCTCCTGTGCACTATGTTAAACTACACTACATGGTACTGTGAAGAGGACAGTCTGGTCTTGAAAATACTTCCTTCCTCCAGTTCTCCACCCACTAACAGTAGGATCCTGTGGTGAATGCCAACCGCCTCAGGGCTGCCTAGCGCCTCTGAAGCCCTGTCATGTAACAGTTCCAGCAGAATTCCCTAACTCTTGGCCTTCATTCACTAGTCCAAGTTCCCTTTAGTTCTGCTATGTCACCCTGCCATCTGCAAAATATAACATCTGGCCTTGTCTAGTCAAGTAAGAGTGTCAGGATGAAATTCCAAAGGCTGTTTTTGAAAACATGTTATCTACTCTTTTAAAAATACAAGATTCTCTCAATAATAATGCAGGCCACATGAAAGCAATCATTCAAGGCTGCTTATTTAGTAAAGCTGAGAAATTTCCCTGCCCTTTGGAATGCCACAACTCAGCAGAGAAGAAACTGTCTCTTCTCACAGGGGACGATGCAACAAAGCATGCTTCCACCAACCTGGCCATCTGCTTGTAAGCCTCTTCTGCTACTGCAAAGATGTGTGGGTCCATGTCACCCATGTTCTGCCCGCTGTATGCGTTGATGATATCCTCTCCATAAATAGGCAGCTGCTCATAGGGATTTATAGCTACCAGGACTATACCTGGGGGAAGGGGACAGAAACACAAAAGGGTATCAAAGGAGATCCTAGGGGCATAACAAAACCTCGTTTAAATTTAACTGACATTAAACTAGTAAACTGCCACACACCAACATATGCCACAGCTTTTATATCTGAACTCACTGTGCACAGCCCTATAATAAAGCCCCACTTCACACCCAGAGAAGGCCCTGAACGGTGGCGCACAGCCGTAACTGAAACACTCAGGAGAGAGCAGGCAGGTCACCACAAGTTCAAGGCCGGTCTGAGCTACACAGTAAAGTCAGGGCCATCCTGAGCTACCTAGTGAGACCCTGTCTCAACACAAACCAGCCAAACAAAGCAACTAGACAGGCTTAAAATATGACAATGTCGAAAGAATTTTAAATGTTTTCATGACATTTAATCTAAAAACACAATTCTAGAAACTTATTCAAGTGAAATAATCACAAATCATACAAAGGATTATTTTTACAAAGATATTTACCATACTGGTACCTATAAGAGTAAAAATGGAAACAAAATATAGAATAAAAAAGCAGATTAATACATTTCTGTTATATCCACGTGACAGACTGTGCTGGCAAAACACATCCCCAAGTATACTAAATGTCACAGGAAAATGTGACAGCGCTACATGTAAGCCAGGTGTGGTGGCACAAACCTGTAATTCAGGTACTCAGGAACAGGAGGATAACAATTTTGGACAGTGCTGGCAACTTAACAAAACTTCATTTCAAAAACTAATTTTTTTTTCAAAAAATTAAAAAATAGATATAAACTTGTTTAATTCTTATATTTGCTTGAAATGTCTAATACATACAAAAAGAAAGGATATATATTAACATAATATTGGTTATAAGGGGCCGGAGAGATGGCTCAGTGGAATAAGTGCTTCCCTGGCAAGCGCAAGGGCCTGAGTTCAATCCCCAGTTCTGCAAAAAAAAAAAAAACCTAGTTATTTTTTGGTAGCAAATTACATGTAGTTATTTTTTTTATTTCTTTTCTATATTTCCTCAAAATTTTATAATAGGCATGTGTATTACTTTAATGAAATCATTCAACAAATATTTTCCAAAGGAGCCGGGGATATGGCTCAGTGGAATAAGCGCTTCCCTGGCAAGCGCAAGGGCCTGAGTTCAATCCCTGGTTCCGCCAAAAAAAAAAAAAAAATTTCAGTTCCAGGGCTGGCAAGATAGTTTGGTAGGCTAAGTATCTGTTAGGCAAGCACAGGGATTGGGGTTACATCCCCCACACCACAAGGTGTGCCAGCCTCACCCTCAGGCATGCTGAGCCAGCCACCAAGTCCAGGCGCAGTGGCACATGCCTGTAATCCCAGTACTGGGGAGGCTGAAAACAGGAGAATCACTACAAGTCTGAGCTGCCTAGTGAGACCCTGTACCAAATACACTAAAAAGAGAGAGAGAGAGAAGGAGAGAGACAGACAGACAGACAGAGAAACAGAGAGAGAGAATATTTTTTCAGCTCTGTGTTTCAAGTCTTTTTTAAAATACTGGCATTATAACAGAAAACAAAAAGACAGGTCTTTATTCTCATGGAGCTTATATTCTAGTGGGAAATTCAGACAAAATAATTAAGAAATATGCAAGGTGTGACTGAAGGCTATTAGCATTTAAATTAAAATAAATCACTGCAGTAAAAGACATACTGCTGTTAAGCCCCCTCCAAGCCCTACCCTTCGCTTGAAAGACTTATCCTGTGGGCCTTGCCCCTGTCCAGAGCCGCTCTGAGTACGCTTTCCTGCGGCTCTGTAGCTACACTACGCAGCCACCCTGCTACCCTGTATCCTTACTTTCCGCGTCATTTCGGCTCTGGGGAAGAGCCGGTGATCACACAGTGCCAGACCTGGCGAATATGGTGGATGAGGACGCCCCATGTTCTCAGGAGCCTGCCTTCCTGTTGGATGGCATCTGGCAGCCGCATTCATTATATTTTTTATTGTAATGTGTAAAGACACTCAGGAAAGAAGGCTTCCAGAACTGCTGCAGACAGCGGCAAGAACCACAAGATAAACATGTTTGAGGCGAGGGGAAGTAGTCTGAGGGGGATTCATGGCAATGTGCCTTTACTGTACTACGTCTTTAATTCAGACATTCACTGTATATTTCATCACCCCCTTGCATCTATTCACATATGTTAGACAACAGGACAGAATCAGAAAAATAAAGCAGAAAAGAAAGATAGTTGCAAGAAGGAGAAGGCTTATGATTTAGACAGGATATCAAAGAAAGGCTTTGCTGAGATACAACATGCAATTAGGGGCTAAGAGAACAGCTCAGTGGCAGAGCATGTGCTTGGGACACATAAGGTCCTGGGTTCAGTTTCAAGCACAGAAAAAAATTTTCCTGCTTCAAAAGGTGCTGGGGGTTGAACCAAGAACCTCTGCATGGAGCTGCATGCACTGCCCTTTCTCATTCTGAGCGAAGGCCTGTTTATAGCCCTAAGACGCCCAGGCTGTGCTCCAAAGCTTGTGATACTCCAGCCTCAGCCCTCCAGAATTCAAGATTACAGGAGTGCATGCCATGCTCAACTGAAGAAAAATAAAAATGGAGAAAAAAATATTTAATAATGAAAAAGGGAAGTTAACATGAAGGATGCACATCCTTTTGGGAAGGAAAGGAGCCTGCTCCCACTCCAAATGGCACAGTAACAAAAGCCAGAGGAGCAGGGAGGGTGCTGCAAGCACACAAAAGCAGATGGGAGTGAACAGAAAGCCAGGGCCACACAACAGAGGGCAGAGTGACGACGTCAGAGAAGGAAAGAGCCACAGCGGAGGACGATGTAGAGTAAGAACAACACAGAGAGAAGCAGAGCCAGTCAGAGGAGCCCAATCTACGCCCCTGCACGGGTTCAGGCTGTGAGGGCTGCAGCCACAGGCCTGGCAGCAGAGGCAAGGAGACGCACTGCGCCCATCGGCCCCATGTCCTCAGGTGCTGAGGAAAAGGGGACCTGAGCACTGGGTCTGCACCAAAGGCCCATCTGTGGACGCCTACCCTCCATGCTGTCATTACAAGTACCTGGTGAATGTGACCTTGAGGCGACATGTGTTCCTGTGGGGTACTCCAGAGACAGGCTCAGTTCTTTTTATTCTGTGAGAGGTTAGGTAAGGTCACAGAGCTTTCTGATGGGTCTGAGGCGATTTTCTCGGGTAGAGAAAACCCAAGCACAGCCTTCTGTACCGTCCGCCGGGCGAGCTCCCAGGTACCCGTGGCGCGTGCACTCACCACAATACGTGTAGATGAGCTTGGAGTCGATGAAGCGCACTCTGAGGTTGTGGAGCACAGCGGGCTCATGGAGGTAGCTGAGGGCCGTGAGGTCATTTTCTCCCACCAGGATGTCGGGGTTGCGCAGGTGAGGCAGCTCCTTGGTCTTGGCATCCAAACGGTACTCCAGGTCCTGAAACAAGACAGCACCCACAGCAGTGACACCCCCAGGTGGGAACGATGCACCACACAGGCTTACTTGCTACTACTCCTCATCCACTCTCGGCACCAGCCACAGCAACTTCCTGCTGTCTTCCAGCATCATGGCACCGGGGAAGGTGGAAAGCCTTCTTGTCACTGTACATACTAACCCACATTAATACAGCACAGAGGCCAGAGCCTCGGACTTTCTCATTCCAGGTATTTCCACCAGCTCGAGTGAGCATTCTGTCCCCATGGTTAGGCAATGTAAGAGACGGCAAGAGCTTGACTCCAGCTGGGTGAGGCGGTGCATCCTGTCATCTGGGACTGAGGGAGGCTGAGGTAGGAGGATCACAGTTTGAGCCCAGCCTGGACAACCTGGTGACTCAGCAAGGTCCTTTCTCAAAATCAAAAATAGAAAGGGCAGGGATGTACTTCAGAGTGAAGGCCGTGGATTCAATCCCCAACACCACCAAATCGGAAACAGACTCCAGGGCCAGACTGACCTGAATCCAAATCCTAATACTGGTATTAAGTACTTCATTTGTACACAGCACACAGGAAATACCCCACAGGTGGTGGTAAAAGCTGAAAGAGGCGATGCTTGGCGTGTGGTGAAGTCCTTAGAAATTCTTAAAGCCCTAGATGCTCAACAACCTACATGCAACCTTCGTATGTGTGTGTGTGCATGTGTACATACATGAGGGGATACTTACATGCATGAGTGTGAACTACTTCGGAAATGTTTCATACCTTTTATTAGATTCTTAGGTGCCTAGACCCAAACATTAAGACATACTACATTTAAAAATCACAGAAACATGACTTTAAGAGAGTCAATTACAGGAATTTACATAATAAAATACGTATTAAGGCAAACAGCATACAGGAAATTTAAAAAATAAAAAATATACTTGTTTATTTATATTGTTCTGATTAGGGGGAAGGGTTTTATTATATAGTCTAGGACCATCTTGAACTCACTCGTTCTACAGCCTCAGCTGGCTTCAAACTCACAATTTTCCTGCCTCAGCCTCCTGAGTGCTGGGATTACAGGCGTGTGCCGTCATAAAACTGGCAGGGCAATGTGATGATAGAGAGGGGCGTGTTAGTTTGTGAAAAGCAAGTTCTGTTAATACCGAAGATATATACCATGATGGTGAACCTTTTATGGCTTCCAAAGATAACAAACCGCCGGCCAGGGCACTGTACTATAGCTTTGCCACTACTGGCATCTACAAAGATCAAATATTCAAATCAGGATTGCATGGGTTATGCTAAAGGAGAGCAGGACGTATGCTCTGCCCCTGGCACCCCCTGTGCCTGTTCACCAGCTGTGAGGCCCTCCCTGCGGGCTGCCAGGCCCTGTACTGACCCATAATGCATCAGAACACCCTCCTCCAGGGAGGACGCCCACTTGCCACTCTGTCTCCAGACCACTGTCTGCAACCTCCCCACTGTGCTCGCGTTGGCATTCCCCTCCCGTGTTTGTCCCTGCTAACAAGGAAACAGTCACAGCTGAATGACAGAAGCTCCCTGGCTTCACTGGTACTAGCCAGATGGGTGTCAGCCTGGTGACTCCAAGGTGGCAAAATGGTAAGAACTGTCTTCACTGGAGGGGTTCTTACAGCACCCAAGTGGGATGGAGCTGGAACTGGGACACAGAAAATGCTAATGTTGGGACATCTATAAGGTCTTCAGATCTCAGTGATGCCTCAACCGAGTATCCAATCTATCGCAAAAACGTGGCCAGACATGCTGTCACATGTCTGTAATCCCGGCACTCAAAGACTGAGGCAGGAGGACCAATGAATTCAAAGCTAGCCTGAACTATACAGCATCACAAAATAAGTGATGTATGTGTGCCTATGTTTATAGCAGCACAATTTGTGATAGCCAAATCTTGGAAACAACCAAGATGCCCATCACCTGAGGAATGGATGAAAAAGATGTGGT